ACCCTTTGGATTAGGTCTGCTTTAGACCCCGTGTGATAAGGTCCTTTGGCAGGCCAACTGTATTCTGTGATAGAGTTGCACAGGAAGCATGTTCATCTGTGCTTTATCTTTGCAAGTTGCACATTGTATCGTGGTTGTGTATCTTATGTTTTTGATTGTGATTGCACATTGCACAATGCAACCCTATCATTGTGGCTGTGGGATGCTAGTATTCTGCATGGATGGGGGGGTTGCAAGGGGCTGCTGTGGTGTATATCCGCATGCAGATATTTATGCTACATAAAAGTGATGTTAGGGTTGCCATAAGTTGGAAACAACTTGAAATCACACAACAACAACAACAACAACAACAACAACAACAACAGGGAAATTGGATTAAGCCAAAATCTGCAACTTCCCTCACTCTGCCAAATGGTTGGGCTGGCCCCCTTCACCAAATGAACGTCACTTGGTGGGCTGGCCAGGAGTGATGTGGAGACACATAAGGTTAGGGTGGCCAAGATGGCTTGTGCCCCATTGCCTGGGAATGTTTGACCTTTCCACCTCCCTGGGCCATTTGCTTCGGGGTGAACATGTGCAGAGTGCCAGTGTTGCGTAATGGTTTCAGTGTTGGACTACGACCAGGGGTAGGCAACCTTTCCCCTTTAAGGGCCGAGGGACTTCAGCTCCCAGAAGCCTCAGCCATGTTGGCCAATAGTCCCATGTTGGCCAATAACTCCTGGGATTCTGGGAGCTGAAGTCCCTCGGCCCTTAAAGGGGAAAGGTTGCCTACCCCTGGTCCTGGCTTCAGCTGGCATCCATGCAAAAGATTGTAGGGAAGGACAAAACTGTGGTCTGCAATGCTCAGACCAGTTAAAAACAGAAAGCCTTTAAAGAATGGGCTGGGAGGGTTACATTGCTTTAAAGTGTTTTAAACAGTTTTACCTTTTTGACTGTACACTTGTTCCTCCACATTTGCAGCTTTGACTTTTGCAGATTTGATTATTCACAGATTTTATTAATATCCTCTCTCTAGGAATCTCATCCTCCAGCACAACTCTATGGTCAACTTCAACCAAAAGTCACACTGAAGGACCCAGAGATTCCTAGAGAGAACACTTCCCTAGGCATTTGTAGCTCCTCCAGCGCAATTCTTTGGCCAATGTCTGGCAGATGTTGACCACAGAGTTGCACTGGAGGACCTAGAGATTCCTAGAGAGGTGTTCCCTGTAGTGTTTTTGTTATTTGTAGCTTTTCCAAATTCACGGAGGTACTGTGCCCCTAACCCCAGCGAATGTGGAGGGACAAGTGTATTTTATTCTTTTTGTTTTAATATTGCAAAATAATTCAACTTTATTTGTATGCTTTTAATTGTACTAGAATTCAAAGATAGTAGAATCAGTATGTAGAGAGAGATCTTGCAGCACCTTTGAGACTCACTGAAAGAAAGAGGTTGGCAGCAGGAGCTTTCCTAGACTTAAATCCACTTCTCTAAAAGCATCTGAGGAAGTAGTAGATTGAAGTCTATAGGAGATTATCACATGTGCAGGATCCCATGCAAAAATGGGATTTAAAATAGGAAAAATCCACAAAAGCGGATTGATTTTCACACAACGTTGGGGTTAATGAGCATTAATGTGACATTAACCTGGTCAAAAAGTCGACAAAACGCAATTTTTACTTTCAGAAAATCCTGAAAGTAAAAAGAAACATGTTTTGTCGGCTTTCTGTCTGGGTTAATTGCTCATTAACCCCGATGTGTGTGAAAATTAACCAGCATTTGTGGGTTTTTTTCAGGTATTAAATCCTGTTTCTGCGCAGGATTTGGACACTTTGCCCCAGTGTGATAAACTCCTATGAAAGTTCATTCTGCCAACTTCTTTAATTGTACTCTTTTTTCCCCCCCTTTAAATATTGTAAGCTGCCTTGAGTCCCAGTTTTGGGCAAAGAGTGGGATATAAATAAATATAATCATCATCATCAGCGGCAGAGCACAGTTTTTGCATGTAGGGATCCCAAATACCATCTGGGGCATCTGTACTTTTAAAGACCAGATGTCTAAAAACCCAACTCTTCTCTGCTCCCAATTTACTTTAACTCAAAAAGGGGCTAGTAAGAAGGAAGGAGTGAGAGCCAGAGTGGTGCAATGGTTCGAGCGTTACATTGTGACTCTGGAGACCTGGGTTCGAATCCTGGCTCAGCCATGGAAACCCACTGGGGAGACCTTGGGCCAGTCACACTCTCTCAGCCTCAGAGGATGGCAATGGCTCGCCTCAGGGTCGCCCAGAGTCAGAAACGAAATGGCTGTCAGACTATCAGCGGAGCTCCGATGCCACAACCAACCACTTTTTCCTCAGAACTCCAAAGCACGGAGCCACGGCCATTGACCGGGCCGTTTCTGCACTGCGGAGGCTCTTCCGCCAGCACCCTCACTCGGCGTGGCTGCGCATGCGCCGGTCCTTTCTCCCGGCGTTCTCCGCGCGTCTGAGATGGCGGCTCCCAGAGGCGGCGCGCGGCACATGGGTCTGGCTCTGTCCCGCTCTGCTACCGCGTGAGGCGTCGGTGGCGTTCCTTCCGCGTTTGGTGCCGAGGGGGCGTGGCCTCGGCGTTCGGTCCCTGAGGGAGATGAGGGCCCTGGAGCGAGTGGTGCTCAGGGGCTTCCTTAGCGCAGCCGAGGCGCCAAGCTGGAAGCAGAAGGAGGCGGCGGCGGCGGCGGGGGCAGGTAAGGTAAGGCGAGGCGGAGGGAACTACAGTTCCCAGGATCCCCCAGCACTCAGCCCAGGCACAGTTCAAGCGGCCTCAGACTGGATTATTTCTGGCGTTTGGCTTCTAGGCTGCTCTGGTTGAGTGTTGGACCGCCACTCTGGAGAGCTGGCTTCGAATCTTACCTCCTCACTGGGGTGACCTTGGGCGAGTCACGCTCTCTCAGCCTCAGGGGAAGGCAAAGGCCAAGGCCAAGGCAAGCCCCACTCTCAGGAAGCCTTGCCAAGAAAACGCCAGGATAGGATGGCCTTAAGGGCAGAACGAGCAAATTGTTGTTGTTGTTG